AAAAAAAGAAATAATCTGTAGGCACAAGTTTTAACAGCTCTGTGATGATGACTTAGCAGAGCAACACTATGATGGTAGTGGTTGACTCCTTTTAAGTTCATTTAATGTCTTCAGGTTTTTGTTGTCATTATGCCACTTTGTGGTGGAGTTGTATACAACAGAAAAAGATCTAAATAGACAAATTTTAGTCCAAAAATTTATGGCTGGAAACACCAACAGAAAAAAATATATATATATTTTTTTCCAAAATTCACTTAATTAATTAACTGTTGTTTTCTTAGTGCCCTTGTACTCTCTCTCTTTGCAAAGACACATATCCAAATAAACTTAAATGCTTGGTTTAAATTCTAACATCCCTGTGTATGGCTCCTTTCTGCAGATGAAGTGGGAGCGTTGGTGTTTGACATCGGTTCGTATTCTGTAAGAGCTGGCTATGCGGGAGAAGATTGTCCCAAGGTAGGTGAATCACTCAAATGACCTGATTAACTGTGTGTCTTTTCTTCCTCTGAGTGTGTGCATGTTATCTCTGGGGGGACGCCAGTGTCAGGAAATTGGGGCTGTCACCCTGGAGACAGGCTGAGTAAATTGAGTTCAGATCATTTTGGAACACTTCCTTGGTTTAGAGTTTTGTGTACTTTAGTAGGAGTTCTTAATAGTGGAAATACGATGAAGCGTTGATTCATTAATCAAATGTTTTATTTGTTCATTATGATTATTTCAGAACACCTTGTTTATCACACAGTTGCGTGCTTCTGTGTGTGCTTATTAGTATGACACTGTTGCGATGCGAGTTTGAATAATTTCTAACCAACCTTGAAGCAATGAATTTTCTTCTTGGGGAAATATAAATTAGCTTAGATGTATAGAAAAATCTTTCTAGAAATCTTTTGTTAGTTTGATATGAATATAGATGAGATTAAAATTGGGTACTTTTCAGTATAATGTAATTTCATAAGTAACACATTAGTTCAAATATTGGCTCTAAAAACATTTTTCACCAACAGAAAGCCAATGCTGATGAAGAAGTAAATGTAAAAGTGTGCCTTGACTTGCAATGTGTTTTTCGTTCTTTGTTTGGCCCTGGCTTAGGCGGACTTCCCAACAGTGATCGGTGTTACTATTGACCGGGATGATGGCAGTACACCCATGGAAACGGACGGAGACAAGAGCAAGCAGAGCGGCACCACCTACTACATCGATACCAATCAGCTCAGGGTTCCCAGGGAGAGCATGGAGGTCATGTCTCCCCTAAAGAACGGCATGAGTAAGTATTCGGTCTGTTGGAAGTCTTTAAATGTTTTTCTGACGATTTATGTACAAATGGAAATTAACTCACGTACAGGCAGAGTATTTATCAGTGAATACATTTTCTTTTGTTTTTCAGTGCCGCATTATTTACATTTTACACTTCCATAAAAAATATTCTAATTTTTGCTATTGTCAGTGATGTCAAATAGGAGTAATATTTAGAAATTGCGCTGCTTGATCCATATCTACAGTTGGACTGTTTCAGTGTGACTTTGTAGACGAGCTCCTCACATCAATTACTGACATATTACTGCTGTTTATGAATATTTATAAGACTATTCTTGAGCCCAAACACTAAACTCATCAAACATAAGTTTTCTTTTCCCAGTTAAACCCAGGTGTCTCTCCTTTATTTTGTTTTAAAACCATGTCTGTGTAAATGCTAAAATACTCCCCTTTGGTGTAATTTGTTACTTCAAGCATCTACGAAGGCGGTCACATGTCCAGAACTGTCCGTGGTACTGAACTAAATTTAAGCCCCATTAACCTGCAGTGGCAATTAAAAAAAGTAACAGCATAAGTCTTGGGCAGATTTTCCATAAAATGATCTTTAGAACTAATTTGTACCGAGCCCATATATTCTTAGCATGCTTTGTTGTATGTGCTGTGAGACGTTTAAGATATGTGTTGTAGTGGCCATTCAACAATATTATTAA